ACGGCCGTTTTCGAGAGGCGGTGGCGGCGGCGGAGGAGGCGGAGGAGGCGGAGGAGGCGGAGGGGGAGGGGGAGGCGGCGGCGGAGGCGGAGGCGTAGGCGAATCGTATTTCGCGGTGGATCCCTCGAAATCAACCGGTGTCTTGTTCGCCTCCAATTCGCTGACATTCCACGTGGAAAGCCTCTTCCTAGCGTCGGATGTCTCCTTCGGAGAATATCTTAATTTGCTGTACGAGTTCGAGGACGCGGCACTCGAGTCGATCCCGTTCGAGGAACTGTATGCCTTCTCGGCCTTGGGGTGTCGGTCGTAAGATAATTCTCGCCTCTCTCTCGGAATCTCGATACTCTTGTACTTTAGAGCCACGCTAGTTTTGATATGACGGTCGAGTTCTACCTTGGTCATCTCCCCCGCGGACGGTACCCTTCGATATTTGTCCGTGGAGGTCTCGATCTTAACGCTAGGAACTTTCGGACTCATGAATCCAGGGTTCGAAACGTCGCCGCCGGGGGGTTTGAAGCCCAGCTTCGAGTCCTTCGCCGGACTAGCTAGATCTAGTGGCTGCCCCATCATGGAGGCGTGTCCGCTGGTCATCGGACCAGGGATTCCAGGTACGCTTGGCGTTTGTATTTTCACCGGACTGGCGAGATCTAAGGGCTGAGGGACCATGTGGAGGCCAGGTAAGCCTGGGATCACTTTGTACCCGGCGTTGCCGGCCGCTATACTCGAGGATATGTCTATGGCTGGTGTCAGAGTGTGTGGTCCAGGCATGCCAGGAACATAGGGTATCACTTTACCGCCATGAAGAATACTCGTGATGCCCGCCTGGGGCAAAGTTAGCGGGTTATAGGCAGTGATGCTGGTTAGGGGATTTAAGTGGGGCTCCAGGTAATTGTAGCACGACATGCTGGGCGCTATATTCGGAGTTGATATGTTCGGTATGATCGGCGCCAACATTTGCGGCGTGTTGGCCAAAGATATGGAGGAACTCGGCGTGCTGGTCGGCGTGGCAGGTGGTTTGTGTACCATCGTGCCTCCGGAATGGAGGCCCGATCTAACCACGATCGAAGCAGTTTCCGAAGTAACACATTTGTTGCTTACGATGTGCTCGCTCGTCGGAGAATTAGTCTGCCTCGGTTCGATTCTCATGGTTTTCGTTTCCCCGGTGTTGTCCAGTATCCTAACTTCACCGCCGAACATCTGCAGCGAGTTCGGCCGCGGATACTTGCTCAGTTCTTCGAGAGATCGCAAGGTGGTGGGCACGGATTCTGATCTCTGCTTCTTCGCGGGCGGTGCGTACGCGTCGACCAGCCTCGTGTTACCTAAAAGCGGCCCGGGGGAAGGTAGAGGCTGCAACGCGTTGTAGTAATCGGAAGACTTTGATTCGAAATCGGACTCTCGTTTTTCAATTTCCAGCTGGCACTCTCTGCGCGGACTCACGTTCCCTTTACAGTAGTATTTACGATGAGTGTCGAGATTGTCGATGCTCGAGTAAGAGATGTTGCAAGAGGGACACAGATAATTTTCACTCTCCGCTGTGCCGTCTTGACTCGCATTTTGACTCTTCAGGAGTAGATCTTTGATCAACGAGCCATCCGAACTCGAACTGTTCGGACAATCTTTGTTCTCTCGGACGAAACTCTCACTGTAACATCGTTTTCTCGAGGAAGAGGATGATTCTTCGACGGAAGAGAGATTCAACGGCTGATCGCATTGTTTCGCTTCGACGAGACTTTGTTGCCTTTGAATCAGTTTGTGAAGACGCGGATCAACCGCATCGACGATCGCTTGGTTGTCGGTAATTATTTTATCAATATGTTCTTGTACTTGCTCTGGATTAGGTTTCGAAGAAGGGATAGCAGCCGTCGAGGAAGAACTGTTACTGGAAGAAGTGGAAGAAAGGGAAGACGTTTCGGCGTCGTTATTCACGCACTGCAATGCCGTATGAAATTTTGGTTTGTAGATTTTTCCGGTTCTAATTGTTTTCACACTGGAGACGGTCGTCGTCGGTGTCGATGACGGCGGAGGCGGCGGTGTGCCAGTACCGTTGCTCGCACTGTCGGACAGGCTTATATCCGAATCTTCCGACACCTGCAAAAATCATCAAAATCGAATGTTATCTTTCAAGAAGTTTCTGAGAAAGCCTACACTGACGATGAAACACGCGATAAAATGTCGCTAAATCAACTGCACGCATATGCAGGAACTCGCATTTCTTGCATTTCTTCCAAATTGTCGACAGTAAAATGTTACACGAGCTTAGTAGCGAAAGTAAATAGTACGCCAAGGGATTAACATTGCTTTGCCTAACATAATCGTTATGAAAATTCTTATAAAAATTAATAAGGCAAAATTCCATCATTTAAATAAATGACAAAAGAACGAAATGTCGATACGACTTCGACTGATAAGAAACGCCAAATAACTTGAATGTACATAATATGAACGTTATATATACACATGAAACATTATTTTTACAACAGTTTTATGTATTCCTTTAAAATATTTATAATGAATTAGTAAACCTTTGGTGCTCAATTTTTCTCGAACACAAACGCACGAGTGTCTTTAACTGTTTCAAACTGCTTTCCTCCTTCTTCGATTGACTTCTTTGCAAAATCTCCTCCATCAATTTAAAGGATTTACACATATACTTTTTTGTCGATGTAACTTTCTCCTACTTAGTTTTTTATACAGTTATGCTATTTTCTTAGGATATCAAATTTTCATCGTCTCTTTGAAATTTTCAATTTCTTTATTTATGCATTTATTAAACGAATATACTTTTAATCATTTAGTGTTAGTTTGTAAAGTTCTTCTTGTTTCTTTATTAGAATATACAATTTGAATTTAAAGCATGCTTCTTTATAACGTATACAGTCGCTCAAATTTTTCATTAGTTTATTATATACTGAAATAACAATATCTTTGGCTTTAACTCTTTACACGAAGGTACATTTTCCTCAGTACATTTTAGACGATGCTTTGAACGCAGACATATGATTTTGAGTATACTTTAAGAAAAGATATTGTCTGAAAAATGAAAATATATTATGAAAAAGCGAATAGAATTTCAGTTTTATATTCTAAATTTTTATGTTTAATTAGGTGTACAAATTGATTTGGTGCTTTTCAAATAAATCAATTACTCAATCTTGAAGAATAAGAATTAACGTTATAGTTACAAAAATATACAATTACATAAACACACATGACCATACTTTTAAACCTCAATAAGAGATTTTCATTTTTTCGGGAATTTCAACGTCCATAATCTATTACAATTAAAATTGTCAACGAAAAAGTTGGAAAAAATTCACTACCACGTGTTCCGGTATGGGTAACACGTCACATTTTTTCCGGAAGGAAAGGATTGAAATTTGATGCAAAATGTTTTTCTTCGGTAGCTTAAATATTACAAAATCCATCGTCAGTTTAATTTGTATCGAGAGCATTGTTGATCCTATTTTCCGGAAAGAAAAATGCCCTCTAAATATTTTCTTGGCGTTTTAAAGATTCAAAGTGTCAATCATAATATTTAAAATTCTCCAATAACTTGACAAAATACACGACAAAAAGACACGAAATATTTAAAAAATCCATCAGTTAGACTCATGGATTTTGCATGTGTTCAGGTATAGAAAATAAACAGAGAAGAACAAGGTATACTGTATGTCCATGAAGATTAAATTGTAATTTAAACAGAAGGAAACGTGAGTTGAACTTGTTCAATTATAATCATTGACACTGAGACCCAAGATTCTTACCAAGAAGGTATTATTGTGAATTTGATGAGATGTTAAGGTATATATCATAAGGTGCTGCGATTCGACTACACTGTTAATTTAGAACGTTACTAGATTTGCTGACAGCAAGCCGGAAACTATGTAGATAAGTCATTCGGTACTTGGTTGCGTGAATCGAAAAGTACTGAGAACTTTATTTATTCCTTGGGCTAAACGTGTCTTCCTTGTCAGATTTATTCACCACCTAGCTCCGTTCGATTACTATTTATCCTGGCCGTTGCAACATCACCTAGCTGATACGCACTTGAAAACAGTGAAGAGATCCAAAAATGCATTGATGACTTCATCGACTCAACGCCCCCATCTTTTCTCCGCTGAGGGATTCACCAGTAGCCCATAAGACGGAGTAAAGACATCGCAAATGATGGTGAATATTTGAAGAATTCAAATGTATTTCATATTTCTGCAAGTAAAGGTTCAATTTCTTTAAAGACGACACCAAATTAATTTGTACAGCAATACATTGGGACCTTTTTCATTAAAAATTCTTACGATGGATTTAGCAAAAATGACAGAGGAGTGCTCGACGATGATTGATTTCGTATACTCATAATTATGGAGAGAAGAGTGAATTGCGATGGTCGGCGTATCTTACATAACAGCATTGTTATCTTGAAAAATTCAAATATAGAAAACTATTAATATCAACAAGCATCAGATTATTTTTCCACGTTATTTTTACGAAGCTTTCATCAATAAATTCGTCAAACTTTACTGATTAAAATGGCACAGACCGATTTTGACTACTTTCAGCTAGACTTCTAATAATTACTGTTCAATTCCTTGAAGAGGGGTCTTATTAAACCAAGAATAGTAGTTTTGGTTCGTCGTTTACCTTTTTTTTACAATCTACGCGATCATAAAATCTACGCACAGTTGGCGATCAAATTGTTAGAGCCATCCGTATGAATTGACGACTTTACATTTAAATAATTAATTTTTTGAAATGGGAACTTAATTATGCAAAACTCATATGATTTTGAGTGAAATAAATAAGCAAAGGAAGCTTTAGAATTCCTTATAGACTTCAACCCAATGGAAAACCTGTGAAAACGATTGAAAAAGAAAATTTCGAAGGAATTCATTACTATTGTATCAAACGCCAATTAATAAGCACAGAAATGATGCAATAGAACTAAACCGTCTACAGTGTAATGGCAGCAAAGACGATGTTACCAAATACAATATTTATTTATAGTCAGCGTGATTGCATCATTAATTTTTTAACTCTGTTCTTTATATTTATATAGAGAAAGTTGAAATATATTATATATTATGCATTTTTAATGGGCAGTTGGACAGCTGTTAAAGCTGAGTAAAGTCTTATCTAGCGTAATAAACAGTGGCTATGCTTGATCTTGTGATTTTATCTTCACACAAGTAGAAAACAATTATTTTTTTCACTGTGTTTCTAATAATTTCATCACTTATTCTAAGATGATTATTTACTATTCTGTCGAGTGTAATGTTGTGCTTAATAATCACAATTTTCGAGACACCTGAATATTTCTTTCCCTTCTTAAAAGGTGAGATTCAACTTTTTTTTATGCATATTCCGTTTTGTTTTTCGAATCATTATATTTTATTTGATTTATATCCTTAATTCTCAATCTATTGGTACTCATATTACACTGTGGAACAAATATAAACTTTTTTTGTCTTGCAATCACCATTAGGTGATTCGTATAAAGTTCCTTGTCCTAAACACGAATCCGAAAACCAAATTGCTGGGTCACGTCCAGATTTTAAAAAAATGAGTTTTAGTAAAAACGGTCGAATTTTTCAGAGAAACAGGTGTTCCGTGAAAACTAAAAACGATAGGCAGTTAAAATTTTCCGTAAGAAATACAAGAGAGTTACCCGAGTATGTAGCTATAAAAATCTTGAATATTGCGTATCATTAAATGATTGTAAATGATGATCAAAGTTTACAAAAAGGTAGATGTGCGTACTTTGTACGCACTTCTGTTACATTTCTACGAAAAATGGGTTGGCTAACACGAATTTGCTATGCACCATTGGATCCTACAGACATTTCTGAAGAGGAACCCACCCGCAGGAAGCGTGAGAACGGTTCTAATTTTCTTTCGGACAGGCTAAGAAAATCTCCGTGAAGAGCGTGTGCACAAAGCTTTGACGCCACAGGGCCATCGCTCGTTGGCTACGACTAGTTAGGGCCGTGACCACGCGCTGTATAGACCTGGATCCCGGTCATTTCTTAATTATGTAATACAATTAGATATCTGGAATGTTTTTAAAAATTAATTAAGTTTACAGATAGTATTTATTAAGTTTACATAGATCTGCATTGGATGTTTACTGAAGTATTTTTAAATTAACACTAACATTGCTGAGTATATTCAAATATTCGTTATAGTTTCAGTAGACTTAATTAAATTTTGAAAATAGTTCAGATATCTTTAACTTATAATCCTTTCAACATATCGATAATCGAAAAATAATAAAATGTATGCCAGTCATCTTGACTGATTCGATAGTTTTTTAATGTTAATCATCGTAATAATATTACTCGTACATGTGTATTCACATATTAAACAACAAATTATTTAGATAACAGAACTTAAACTAGAATCGTGAAAAGCTTTCTTAAAATTATTATGAAAATTTATAAAACAATTAAACATTATATATACATATTTAAGAAGTGACCGGCCGTGCAATGAAGAGCAATGGCCGTGTGTCGCCAAAGCTCTATGCACGCACTCTTCACGGAGATTTTCTTAACCTGTCCGAAAGGAAAGCCATTCTTAAGGTTTCTGCGGGGGGTTCCTCTTTAGAAATGTTTGCAGAATACAATGGTGCATAGCAAATTCGTGATAGCCAACCCACTTATCGTAGAAATCTAACAGAAGTGCGTACAAAGTACGCGCATTTACCTTTTTGTAAACTTTGATCATCTTTTACAATCATTTAATAATACACAATATTCAAGATTTTTATAGCTACATATTCGGGCAATTCTCTTCTATTTTTTACGTCAAATTTTAACTGCCTATCGTTTTTAGTTTTCACGTAACACTTATTTCTCTGAAAAATTTCACCGTTTTTACAAAACCTCATTTTTTTTTTAATCTGGACGTAACCCAGCAATTTGGTTTTTGGATTCGTATTTAAGACAAGGAACTCTATACGAATCATCTAGTGATTATTGCGAGACAAAAATTGTGTTTCACAGTGATTATTTATGCTCCTGCATTTACTAATTCTATACTATATGTCTTGTAATTTCATGTGTTGTTAATAGACTTCATATATACAAGAAGAACGATATAATTTTTATTATTATTACCATTATTAAGAAGAGCAAGATTCAATAAAGATCGGTTGAAGTTGTGAAATGGTAAATGGGCTCTTTTCTGAGTTAGCTGGCACACTTCTAAATGAAAATATATCATACCAGAATGGCACGAAATTCTCGTGTACACGTAAAAAATTTCTCAAATTCTCTGAATGTTTATAAATCCCATCTCATAGTAATATAATGTATATTTCCAAATTGGAACTACATTGTCCCCCTTTACATTTATCAAGAATTGTAAATTATACTTTTGATTTTTTCGCAATGGCTATTTAGATCTTTTCTTATACTTGATTATTCGATCATTCGTGTTGGTAAAGAATGATACGACCGTGGAATATAATCTTGAGATATGTTATCTTTTTTGCATTTTCTTTCTGAAGCATTGTCTTAGCTTAATATATTAAAATTGTTCCTTGGTTTTATCAAGAGTTTGAAGTAATTAATCCCATTAAATGTCGATACAATTCAAATCCACATAATAAAGTTGAGCAGTTAACAGTGAAATATTTCCGTGTGAATAACAGGTTTTAAAATCAGGAATTAATTATCATATTAATCCCAGGAAGGTTTGAACGTATATTTTCAGAATTAAAATGTCTAAATTTGCTTCAACTCCAAATATAATTGCATCCCAGAAGATATTGTTTCATTAATACATTCTATTGGAAAATATAATTCCTCCTTTTTATTGGTTTCGTTAATATAATTTATAATTATAATCACGGAGATCAGTTTCTTTTCAAAATTTTCGATAAAAACTTAAGCAAAGAATTTCTACAAAGATATTAGTAACTATATCACACAGCTTCGATATGGATCTATTTATGTCAATTGATGTTTTCTTTTATCTCACAGGTAATAAATTTTCTTCCTGGCGAGTGAACTGACTTCACGGTTCTCACTTTTAAGAATTTTTATATTCTTACCACGTAACTATATGCAATAGTAACGCGAAACTGACTAAAAATAATATCTTGAAATTCATTGTAATCATCGTTTATACACGAACGTTCTAAAATTCGTACTGTTCAATCATGCATGTTTGTGCGAAATATACTATACTGCATATGCCTTTGATTCGTTTCCTAATGTTACTTATAGTATAATCTTGAGCCTTCATTCTTTGCTGTAAATATCATACTTACGGTTTAAATACTTTAGTATATTTTAGTATACGTATTGTGCATGTTAAAAGTTGCAATTGCAAGCGTTGAAATGTTTATTTTGAATGAAATATTATATTACTGCGAGGAAATTAACACTTTATAAACCATTCAGAAAGATTGGAGAATTTTGAATATATTATATTAGCTCATAATATGAAACACCGCAATATTTCGGAAAATAAATAACTTGATGCGTCAATTACTATGGAAAACTTAAATGGAAAGCAATAGAAAAGAATCATATTAATAGTTGGGCACCAATTAAGAACTTGTCATTGAATGTGAAGCATTATTGTGTTTAGTAGTGCGTTAAATTTTCTGAAAAACGAATTAAATAGTCACATTTCTTAATACAGATAAGGCCACAAACTTTATTTTTTCCATGATTTATCAATAAACACGTTTGTTTTTCACTAGTCAAAAGTAATTTTTTGCAAATTTAGTTTCTTCTTAGAATAGTTATTATTTGTCTATCGGAATACATGGGTTCCCACAATATGGAACACGTTCCACCTGGGGTGTACATTATTCGTTAATGTTATACATTATTGTATTACATTTTTATTTTATGGTGACAACTACAATTGTGATAATAATGGAAAAAAATATGTCCAATGAATTGTGTTCATGAGGAATGTAGTGGTCACGACGTGTTATTCATATATAAAATAACATAATATAAGCTCAAAGATGTGAAAAATTTGTTTATTTACCCCTTCTATTTCCATAAATATTCATTTCTCGTCACTAAAACGTGGTTCGTTTACAAATTACCTGAGTACTATTTTTTCTCAAATCGCTGCTTTTGACTTTATTTACATTTTTAACCGCGATTCGAAGGCATTTAATTTTTTCCATTGTTATCAATCCGTGTACAAGTGTTTATTAATTTCTTTGTGTTTTTATACAGGTTTCATTGAAAAAACTTCATATTCCTTGTTTTGGCAAGCTTGTGAAATCAGCTGTTCTATATTATTTGTCGATAGCTATAGTATTATATAGATACATATGTGCCATCTTTTCCTCCACTTACGATTTTATATTCTATCAATTTCACGTGCAGCTATTGCGAAAGTATTCGAATACTATCATCACGTTTCCTTCCATTTTTATTGGTAAAACTCAATGAATACAAAAATTCAATAATTTATTAACAAACGTTTCAATGGAAAATCATTGAAAAACAATGAAATTTTATTACTCCACCAGTGATTAAGGAGGTATTTTCTCATTGGAAAAGATTGTTTTTGGCACCTTTTAATTTACGTAATAATATTAATTTTAATGTTTAAATAATAACATCTGTTTTTATTTATATTTCAGGAGGATTCGTATTTCAGGATTTCATATTAATCAAATTATTAAATAATGTGTTATTTTTCATTTTGTATGGCTGCAATATTTTAATATAGAGTGAACCTATTTCTTTGAAAATCTACTTACATGCAAGTAGGTAGATGTCTCTTTATCGTCTGTAGTAAAATTATATCAGTATCTGCAGCAGTTATTTTTTAACCCTTAGCAGTCCTATGTCGAGTCAGACGCGACATTCTATTTTATTGCAAACTCTACCTGTTTTAACAATTTTTTCTATGTTTATTTGTAGTATGACAATTGTACCATTTAAAGGTAACATTTCAATGGCTTCCAAATATTCTCGAATAAATAAATAGAGCGTCATATTAAGCTGTAATTGAATGAACTAACGTCGACGTGAACCTCAAAGTGAGAAATCAAGAGCACTTCGGACCTCAAAGGGTTAATGGAACAGTAAATATGAAATTTTCATGGTCAAACGTATTTTTTGCTTCTCTATATCACAGCCTCTTTATTCAAACACATTATTCTGCATTAAACTAATACGGACGAAATCACATTCTCATACAAATTAAGATTATTTTGTACTTGGACATTTCAGATGAATATAGTATTGAATTATATTAAGATCCATACAAAATGGATCTTTGTACACTTGATATTTCGTAACTTTGTTAATATGTTTAAAATTCTTTTTATCTAATCGTAATTTGAAGGTCGCCGAAAAACGACCCCTTTAAACGAGAATAACCACTTATTAGATTCGTACACTGTGTGCTACTTCTCGAAAGTTGGACGTTAGGACTAGTTGTGAATTTGTAAATGAATCGTGAGTCATGCGATGGTGCTACTAAATTTTTAGTAAATTTTCTTTAACTATTTCAACTGTATATATATATACACAGTTGATTTCTAATAAACTATTGTATATATTCAAGGGACGAGAATTATTACAAGTAGTTAAGTTTTTGCAAAGTGAATTCCTATAAAAAGGTTTATATTATGGACTAAACATGAAAGTAAAGGGGTTAATTTTTACCCTGGAAAAGTAGAGTGAGCCACCTTATGATATATCCCAGGAGAACCGTCTCTAGTGCACGTTGCGCGAAGAATATCTTTTTAAGGAGTACGTTACAGGATGACATTAAAATCATTGACATATGTAAATAGTTTACATATGTAAACTATTGTCTATATCTTGTCTAGTCGACAAGAATTCATCATCATCAGTACTAATCGACTTCATATTATATGTGTACTTCTCTACAGAATTAACTTACGAACTGTTCGTTATTGTAAAAAGTATTCCCATGATTTACTTTGTTTCGAGGGAAACGCTTATGATGGTACAAATATTGCTCTATATGGACATTTAAAGTGTTCTATAGAAATTATAAGTTGACCTTGACTGTTTCAAATGAAACTATTTACTGATTTATAATATAATTGCTTTTTGAAGATTATTCGAACTCATCTAAGATATCTAATTAATCCTCGTATTGCGAATTCTGGATAATTTTAACTGAATAATAACCGTTGCTGTATTTATATAAATACAGCTTCTTACTTATTAATTTATTCATGTGGTTAGGGATAATAATATTTAATAAAGTTAAATGCCTTCTGAGAAGCAGCGATCAATGCAAATTCTATTATGGGTCAAAATGAGGATCAACTCATCGTACGAGGGTTAACACACATGTTGATCAATCTTGATTTCGATAAGCTCTTGTCGACCGAAATCTGAGTTAATAATTCCAATGTAACCGGTGCTGTGTTAGGTAATTTGGGTTAGGCGCAAAGTATAAGTTGTGGTTTCTCCCTAGACGAAGAAGAATGTTGATGAATGGAATATTATAGATTCTATAGCATAATAATTGGAAGAAATTCACAAATATCTGGTAACTATAAACCGGGGAATCTCGGTGTACGAGCATCGAATGAACCGAATGTGGAAACCAAACGGAAGTGCCAAAAATAACAATGTCTGAACGTCAATAATTCTTAGTAGAATTACTTTATGATCGGAAAAGCCACTTGTTCCAAGAACCATTTCCTTTGACTATCTATTGTATAACGCGCGCAAAGAATAAACGATAACAAAATAATAGAGGTTTGACTATGAATAAGTAAAGACATATGTACCTTACTGGCGTCACCACCTTCCATCTTTAAGGCATGAGCTCGAGACCTGCAGTGTTTGTAAAGGTTCGACTTGGTTTTAAAGGCGAAACCGCAAGGCACGCAAGGATACGGTCTTTCGTTGGTATGGGCTCTGATGTGTTTTTGCAAAACACTCGGCTTCGCGCACGAGAGCCTGCAATAAGGACATACATAGCCGCTTTTCCTAGACTCGGTCGGTTCTCCATCCGCCGGTTCCGGAGAGGTCTCGACCTTGATTGGATCTTTGAGCGACTCTCTCGAGTCCTTCGACGAATCTTTCCTTTTAGGTGTTTCTGGAGAAGCGTCATTGTCCGACGTATCCTTTTTTGCCTCCAGTTTCGGCACAACCTCGGTCGTCGCCATCTTCTTAAATTTCTTGTGCAGGTACTTTGGCTCGCCATCGTTGTTGTTGTTGTTATTGTTTGACAACTGTGGATCTGTCATCGCCACAGTGTGAGTCTCTGCAAGCAAAGAAATCGTTCGATTAACATTTCGTATTGTGTGTTTCACATTAGATACGCATACAACCGTGTACAACACAATATCCATTAACGAACAGGTATGCGTTCATATACCGCACTCTTCTTCTGCTTCTAACCAAGTAAATAAAAGTGTCTATGTTTCTAATCGAGTTTCAGAGAATTGTTGAAAACCTATTCTTTTTACTGATAACTTGAACCGATGGTGAAGCGTTGAGAGAACTACTGACAGTAATAATAAGAAAGAACACGCTCTACCAAGTTTCAACACTTTAGCCTGGTTGAAAGGGTGGGTAAGAAACAGTGGTGACGAGCGCCCTTATCCCGTTAACGCTCCTCTTCGAGAAGATCGTTTTACCATAAATGATTAGCCTCTTTGGAAACTGCTACAGAATTCGTATAAAACGTATTATTACAAATGAAAAGGTATATTATATACGATCTTCGACCGACAAATGTTAATTTAGACATTTTTGAAATTTCTTTTTCAATGGAAGTATATTTCTTGAAATCTTTACCAAATTCTCATCTTCATTTTTTCACAGTGTTGTTTGTTAAATAACTTTCGAACTGCTGATTCAATGCTCTTCGCTTTCTTCTCTTTATTTAACTATGATAGGAAGATATCGTATTCCAATAATAATTAAAAAATGTTGTAACAATTCGAAAAGCTTTTCTCAGGTGGACTGGCTTTATCATTTTCTCTAGTTTCCAAACAATATAATGTACTCTTGTACAGAAATGAAGTTCAAGGAAATAAATAATCTTCGATAACATATATGAGAAATGTTGAAAGTACCGGTTTCCAAAGAATTATTACTACAGCAAAGTTTTTATACTTTTGCCTGAAACTGTATATAGAATTGAATAAAGAAGTAACCAGGAAAAGAAGAAATATAAAACGGAACAAGCGCGAGTGTGGAAAAGGGAGGAATATAATTAGTTCGGCGAAAAACGTGAATCACACGCAGATCTAAACTATTTCCCGATATTACACACAGTAAATCAGTCAGATCGTTCCAAGAATCTTTCGAGCCACGCACAACATTGCAGTGAGTCATATTTCATTAATAAAATAGAAAATCCATAAAAGATAGAAAGTATTAGTCCTTCCGAGTTTGCATATGTGCTAATATATTACTAAGGAAATAATAAAAGAGTATTCATAATTTCAAAAGAAACGAAAATTTTTTTCTTTTTACATCAATAGGTTTCATGGTTTCTTTTGCAATGATGGTTTTATTTGTTTGTGCGATTATTTTTACTCGGCGAAGACTAAAATTTTCCGTTCGGAAATAGGCTATTAGCTTTTAGGAAATGACAACGTAAGTGATAAATATACGAATTTAATGAAGTGTATAAGAAAACCATAGATAATCAACAATTGTTGAAAGGATGACATGCGGAAAGAAATACAATTATTCGCTACTTCGTTGTATTAATGCCCTCATTACAATATGTCGCACGTATGGCGACGAAGCAAACAAGCGCATAACGTCATAGACTGGCTTACAGTACGATAAGAATATTCATGTGATTATTTTCCTGCAACGTTGCGTTTATAAAATAGAACAATACCTTTTATTTTCCTTTGAACTGCTTAAGTTCATCGTTTCCCGTAAAAAGAAAGTAAACAAGGTTCACAAACAGTGAAATCTGTTTTTTTTAGTATTCAAGTACTATATTTCAATACATTTAAATGTATAATGAATATGAATAGGTGTAAAGTAAACAGGTATAAGAAATTGTTCTTTCGAAAATTTTAAGGACATTTGGAGTACGTTGTAAAATGATATAAATTATGTGCATATGTAACAGTGGACAAAGAGCTGCCCGCCTCATATTTTCGGTATTTTTCCTTGATTATCTGCAATTTATACTTTTTACGTATGTGTATAAAATGTATAATATATAAAAGAATTTATCAGAATCTGATACTTGGCATATTTTCATCAAAATATCAAAACTTACGGCAGTTTCTAAGGTGTTCTATTGGTTGGAAAGTGTTAGAAATGCGTGATTTAAGTCTTGAGTAAAATCATACATAAAAATAGTCTATAAAATGTAAATACCTCAGCCGAGAGAATATTAAAGGAATTTCATTATTTGTTTGAAAAAAGTAAGCGCGAGGTAAACGAAAAGGGTAAATAAAAAATTTACCTCGATGACATGCTTTCTCAAAATTGTATGATAATTGATATTTTTTTAAATAGTATTATATATTGTCACTATTATGATGTAAATTATAACATTGTGGTAAAGATTAAAAAATTATTACATGACCTTCACGTCACCTTAAGTACGAAAAATTCAATAAAGTTTGTAGGAATGAATGTGAATAACGTAACGAATGTGTTTAGAGAAATATGATTCGAACGATTCCATCAGCTTCCATACGTATTTGGAAACGGTAAACGAATGATCATCTGGGTTTTATCCTAGATAGCTGACTAATGTTGGCAAATATCTCTAATACATTCATATTGTCTGGTATTGTGGAAACATCGTTATGCACTATTGCGTTAACTACTTCCTTTAGAAAGAAATTTTATTATCATCGATACGTTTGAAATCTGTTTATTTTAAGAGAATAATTCACGAAACCGATTGCATACTTTCTAGTAAATAAAATTATATAACATTTTTTTACATGTAATCTCTCATTATGTTCTTTCACATTATCATTAATATTATTAATGTATAAAAATTATTATTAAAAGCGGTAAACGTCTAGAAAATCGAAAAAGTGCTGCAGTTATTGTCTGATGTTCCAAATAGCTGATTAAAAAATTATCGATGCATTGAAAACCGACCGACTCGTCAAAAACTATATTTATAATTCTGACTGTTTCAAATGCCAGTGTACAAAAAATACAACAATATCTTAATTAAATACGGAGAAACAACATCGTAAATGTTTCTTTTGTTTGTAGGTACTGTAACATCTACTGCCAAAAAGCATCTTATAATTAATGATGGAGATCGCTACCATAAACTCGTATCATATAAGAGAATGGAGAAGATCGAAATTTATAATGTTCAAATATTCGTTGTACAGTTTAATAAGAATACTAAAAAAATATGATACGTTTTAATGATTTGAAAAACATTTTATATTATATATTTATTATCGTAATCAATATAGTAATTTCTGTATCTTTTCCCGTAACAGGCTTTCATCATCGACTATTAGACGTATGTCTCATTATGTAGACCCATTAAAAAAACTATATATTGGTAAATTTATGTGCATAAAAAATATAACGTTGCAGTCAATTTATTACTTATAATAATATTCGCTCCTTTGAAACAAGTCAATCTGTTTGTAGTTCTCTTCTATTACTGGAAATGAATGCAAATGTTGAAGTGATCAAAGTAGATCGAACATTCTGCGTGATATATTCGATAATATTTATGTCGACGTCACACACATGTATCTTTAATTACAACGATATCACATGTGTTGACGTATAAAACGTAAAAAGAGCAATGACGAGGACTTGGTTAAGGACACTTTTTCTTATGGTTTTTCAATGTAAATAACATAAAAGGGTATATTATCCGATCAATATTATTTATACATGTCTACAATCTTTAAGTATCATCATATGTTAGGTCCATAAAAAACAACAGCTATTTGTATGAAATGATTTAGAAATATAATTCTTACTTCTTTGGAATAATTTCGCAGAAAATTTGACGTAACAAGTTCCCCGTCGAACCGGCAAATGTCCTACACGATTTATACTTTCTTAAGTAACACAAGCGCATCTTTTCCCGAATAATACGAGTCATTAATTTGTTTGATTGAAGTGCCGATTAGGTTGCATATAATTATGGTGGGTTATAATTTTCAGATTAATTTAGAGAAATACAGAATTAAAAGATTATTTGTCTTATCAAGGATTTCATAGATTTTAAAGTAAAATAAAAACGGAATTAAAATTCATTGCAGTTTTTATATTATTATGTTTCATTCGTTAGTACTGTATGTATTATGAGTATATAAAAATTGCGGTCAAGCAATAGATATAATACTGTGAATGATTCACTTCAAAGTTCGTTCTCTGTGCATGAAAAAATATTTTTGATCAATTAGAAGCTTACTTGTGCAAGAAAATATGAGTTCCAAAGGATTTATTTTTCTTCCGTAGTAAAAGGTTGATTTTACGCTTTTACAAAGCGTTTAAGAATGGGAAATACTAATATTTAAAAATATATAAAATAGTCACAATGCTTATTTTGATTTGTTATAAACATTCTTGAAATGAAGACATAAAATTTAAGGTGTATATGTTTCCTATTTTTATAAAATTTTGTCCTTTCCTTTTTTACAAAGGAAATTGGCACTTTCAAATACTCTCATGAAAAATGACCTCCCAATCCAGAATAAATATTTAAATTAACTTCTTTCTGGCACTTGTTTCAATCAAGAAATGTTCGATCGCATCTTTAAAGCTTCGTTCGTATCAGTTGACATATTTTACTTCAAGCCTCGAAAATTTAAGTAACTTCAAATTATTTTGTTAATGTGATACTGTTATTTATTCAAGTAAAAATAAATTATATTTCCATATTCCACATAAAGTAAACGAGTAAGTAACCTGTATTTAAACGGATCAGAATGAAAGAGTTTATCTAATATGAAGTAGGATTAAGATTTTTGTTTCTTATTGAAATCCTAACTAAAATAGCAAATAAATGAATCAATCGAATGATTAAGTAAGGTATGTTTGACGCTTGCTTATTAAGTCGCTTAATATTCAAGGCCTCGAGCATTATTCTTACGGAATTATGCGAGAATTACATTACGAAAGCGGAAGGAGCCAAGTTCAACAGTTCAGATCACTTGGTCGTAGTTTGCACGTGCGTAGAATTTTCCTTTCATTGGATTTTCATTTGTAAGTATATATATATATATATATATATACCTAATGAGACTCGTGAAACGAGGCGAAGTATTTCTCACTTTAGTAAGTAGGCTGACACGGAATTACATAGAATATACTTGCAGAGGGTTGTTTCAGTTTTAAATGAATCTACAATCGGATTACATACATTTACTCACGATAGTCCCTGAACCGTTGCATCTGTAATTTTCAAGAAATCAAATGCACACGGTGGAGTCACAGCTATACAATATTGCGATAGACCAAAGTTTCAAGTGTTAAGAATATGAGAGTAAAGTTAAAAAAAATCTAATAACGTAATACAAACAACTAACAGAAGACTAAATACAAACCGACGAAATAAATAAAGCTTATGGGGGTCACAACGTTTTTCGAATTCATGAATTATTTTTGTATTAATTAATGCGAATATTTAGTGGTCTATCCTTAGCATTAAATAGTTGTTACAATCAATGTTCCATGCTACATGTAAAGTTTTTTCTTTTATGGGATCCCATAATACTTAATATTTCTTTAACAAATGCTCGATATGATTCAGATCTGAGGTTTGTGGAAATGTTTTCTGACAAACCAAATTTCTTCGCGTTTTCGTTTGTTTGAAAATCTTTAAATACTTATATTTATTTAAAATCTCGTCAATGAAAACGAGATTTCATGTTCCATTACCGCCATACACCTCTATATCATAACAAAGCCACCTCCATGTTTCATAACCGGAATTAGATTTCACTTTTCTAGTCTCGTATTTTTCTGTCACGATATAAAATGTTGCTCATTTGGGCCAAAAGAGCTGAATTTACTTTCAACTAAAAAATTTACTTTATCCCAGAGAGTATTAACTATATTTATACAGTTTTGTTTAAACTTTTTTCCATATTTTCTGCGCTGATGTACTATATGGCTGCTCCTGCAGTATTCATCTAGGACAACGGTGCATCCGAATAATTCTGAAGCACAAATCGGCATGTACTTACATATAAGCTTTCTGAAATTGCTAGTAATCATTTTAGCACGTGTTGGTGCAGAAATGCATGGATTTTTTTTTTATTTCACATATAATAAGCTTTCCCCCTCTTTAGGAATCAATTCTCTTCCTTCTTTTACTTTTTAATCATGGAATGTATAGTTGACTTACTTTTATTTGTGAAAAATGTTACTATCAGTTCACTGGTTTCATAGTTCTATAAATTTTCAGAATTTTGTGACCCCCCATAAGCGATATGTTTATAATTGCCGATTCTCTTAATATGTAATAGGTAACTCAATTGGACCTCTACGATCCTTGGTACAATTAATTTTCCAAAATTAATCACATGTGTACTATTTACTATTTTACAAATTTCCTGCTTTGTTCCTCGTTCCTATTCTTTCGCGAAACACTTCATTTCAACCGGTTGACAGATATGTGTTTTTCATTTACGTATTTGCACGACGAAAATATTCTCTTTATTAACTTTCTTTTCAGTACTCCAAACATTTGCTTTTTCCAGGATTATTTCGTACAGGTAAGTACAGAGGACCCGCCACGTCTGTGCCGACCACCTATAAACTAAACGTGCATAAGTCCACCTCGATCCTTCTAGGAAACATAGTAGTCGAGCCACTGTGTTCTCAGGATTTCATAAATATAAGAAGACATAAATTCGACGCCAATGTTCGGTACATCTCATTTCGTCGCATTCTGTCCAGTCTGTTTTCTTCGTCACACGGCTCGACCAATAAGACTGTATCGCTTTTGATTTGACTTCAACCTACTTGAAACGTTTCTCTTATTTTTACACCTCTGACATACAGTGTCATTTTTCATTCGTTCCGCGAGCCTCGATTCACCCGGTATTTGCTGCTAACTTGCGGAACAATACCCACAATCATAAACCCTTACCGTTAAGAGAAGCTTCGAAACTCGGTGCGGTCAAGCTCGCGCTTGATAATTTTTCAAAGTTATTTTTCTTCGCGTACATCTCACTTTAAAGAGGAAGTCTTCTCCGCCATCAGTCATGGAAGAGTTAGTGACGTTCTTTCTGCTCCTCCTCCTCCTCTTTCTCTTCTAGGATGAAATCAACATTCGTACGAAATCACTCAGTCGGCCAACATCTCGTTGGACAAGCCAGCTTTATCGGTCGAACATACAAGTTCCATCTCGTTCGTCAGACATTCGTGTTAAGTTCTCGTTACGAAGAGTCTCGTAAAGCCTCCTGTTCATAATTACGTATGTGAATTTCCTTCTCGACAATTAATTTTGCGAAGACAGAACAATAGTTTTAATTGACGGATCTAGGTGGCCAAAATTAATTTGGTAAGTGGGTATCATATCAGGTTCGCGCACGTAAATTACGTACACGAAAGATTGAAAACATAAACCTTACACCCCAAGAGGATAAACAGAAAACCCATGTATGTACTTACTTACAAGGGAAGTTATCGAATCCGGAAATTAAAAAGATTATAAAACCTTGTGCGCAAGTAGAATAAGTCAAGCCTAATATATTGCAATTTTTTCGTGTCGAATTTCACTTTGAAAGGGTGAAACCACCCCCTGAAAACAATACAAAATTTTCTTTCCCGTGGATTAGCTTGAGAACAATAAGAGGTAGCGAAAAAGAGTTTCAACAAAAAATACATTATTCTTTCACGTTTAGAAAACTGAAAAATAAAATTTTTTAAAAAATTAAAGTTCCTTTTTCTTTAATTGCAATGTACTAGGTTTTACTTACTCTACTTATATATAAAGTTTCGTAATTTTTTTAAATTGCGGGTTCGATAACTTTCCTGGTTAGTTAAATACCCGTGACTCCGCAGCGCGTACGCAATCGACGCGAGGCTCAATGCAATATTATTCTTGTAAATATTGAAAAACAATATATCATAACCTGTTTGAAGTATCGAAAAGGAAAGCAATAAAAAGTTAAAGCTTTTACATATTTTGAGTAGAGTAAAATCCTTTTTGTGGAAGACTGCGTTGAATTTTAGAAAATATCTATTTATATCTTCCTCTCCCATTATAGAATTTGAAATATTCCTAATTATATATGTAGACGGTAATAATTTTGTAAAAAAATGTATGGAAACTAAAAGAGAAATTTTTTTTGGAGATTATAAATTACAAGAAATGTGTACCAAGAAAACAACCGAGACAGTTATAATTATTAATCATTCCAATAACTTAATTTGTGGATATTTTATATGAAATTAATCAATACAAACTAAAATAATATTCTCAGATTAGATGATCTGAATAATATATTGTAATATATATATTTATCTTATCCGTTTTCTATAAAGATGTAAGAAAAAGGCATTACATGCTCATTATAAGAAATAGAAGTAATTTTTACGTATGTTACGTAAAAAAGTATCTTGAGAACTTCTCTGTTTAAATATCCATAAATATGGAAATACTCGCACGATCTCATTTACATAATATACATCGTATATTTCTATATGTTACATGATCAGGTATCACTGTTTTCTTTCCCAATGTCGTTAATTTACAAATTACTATTTCTATTTCAGTTTTTCAGTCAAACAAACGGTTCTTAATATTTTACATCACCAAAGTCGCTATTACGAAGATATTGTAAGAATACAGAATTCAACAACTGAATATAATATCAATAATAATCAGACGATCTTATGGCGCATTGAACCGTTTAAAATGTAGAAAAGAAGAACAGTTTATTATTTCATACCAATATGTGAGTTAATTTAAACAATGATAGTGTGAATGAACGAAATTTAAAGCGTTTGAAACGCGGTGTTGTTAAATGCGAAATTTATCTTTGGAAAGTGTAAGATTACAAGTAACGAATTTTTCTGTAATCTGCGAAAGTTGTCGTAAAGTCAGAATGAAACGAAATACTGGGATTATCTTTTAATAAATTATGATGTTGCGATGCAAATAAACTCCATGTAACTATGTACGTAAATAAACCTCAAAATATATATATATATATATATATATATATATATATATATATATATATATATATATATATATATATATATATATATATATATGTATGTATAAATTATTAAAATATATAAATATTTCATATTCTGTATTTTAGTCCTTTTAGACAATTTTAAAAACGGTAAAACACGTGTTAATTTAGTAATTTTATAGAATATTTATATCAAGTTTCAAATTAATAGAACCGCCAAATAATTTTTTCCATACAAAGTTTGACACATCGCTTCACCACTTTAAGGGGGAACACCACCTATTTATTCACATACAGACGTCCTACGTATAAGTAAACTTTAGGAATTATTTTGTTAATAACTATTAAGTGAAAACTTCTGATTTTTTCATTATTTTAATTATTATGGAAATGACAAGCATTTGAAGTACAAAAACTTGTTTTTACCCCAAAAAGTTAGCTGCAAATATTTATAAAAAATTAAATATTTGAAATATCGAAAAATCCGTATACGATATTTTAGATAATATATTTCTGTTTATAAATCCACAACAATTTTTGTTTTCGGACGTTTCAGTTGCTTGCAATCGAATCAGCCAACAATGAATGTTTTACGAAAAGGAATTCTAAAGCTAGCGAATAACTGCGCTATTTCGTAACATTTTGACTTCGTAACATTTTACTCAATAGTTATTAACAAAGAAAAAGTGCCTAAAGTTTACCTATATTTAGGACGTCTTTAGATGATGTCTTCCCATAAGGGATGAATTTTGAAGAATCCCGTTTCAGTGAGTTTGTTAGTTATGAAAGAATATACTACCAAAATTTTATGTTTTTAGCTTCAGTAGTTTCGGTTTTACGTTAATGAATGAGTCAGGCAGTCGGTTAGTCAGAAATAGAAAGAAATTAATAGGAATTAAATAGAAAGAAACAGTTGAGCATATCAATTTTCAGGCATGAAAAACGAAGAATGACATGTATCTGCGGAAAATCAATTTTAAAGCAACAAAGGACGAAAGGAATGAATATGTGGCTTAGAAGTATTCAAATATAGTAGAAGATTCAACGTGGAATGTTCAGCACAAAGACGCAAAAGCCTTTGATCGAAAATCAACATACCATTGTCAAAGAAAGAAACATCGTTTGCTATTCTCGATGTATCTATTTTCTTCAACATCTATATATCCCTTTAATGCATCACTATCAAACAAATCTTATTCATGAATATGTCTCGTACTTCCATCTGCAATACACTGAAATCCAGATACAATGACTCACAAAAGTATCTGAACACTTACCATGAAATACTTTATTAATTATAATAAGTATATTATACAACTCTGTCCGAAATATTATAAACATTGTAAGGAGATATGACTCTTTAGATTATATAGGTAAAGTTTGAAGAAAATCAAAAGATATATACAATAGTTATGAATTATTTGAATTAAAATTAAAAATTTATGATCTTTCACTTCTGATATCTATAATATACCTACAACCCTTGGTTAGCTCTTTCAAAAAGAAAAGCATATGCGAGGCAGCGTATTGTGAAATATTTCATTTAAATATAATATATTACGTTTATCCATTTTTAAACGTTACTACTATATTTATTCACATGTTATTGATTTGCACCTTATTTATCGAACATTCTTTCTAAAAATGACAGCAACGGAATTAAATACTATTCTTAGTGACTCAAAAATATAAATTTTACAATGTTTATAATATTGCGTATAAAACATTTACCACGAATACACGGTAACACAATTAATTTTTACATATACATTACATAGTCTAATATGATACACTTATTTTTGCATAAACATATTACAAAAGCAGCGAAACGAATATTAGTGAAAATATATAAATAAATAAAAAATAAATCACATTAACCCACTTTTCGTAAGTTGTAAAAGGAGAGTAAAGATTAAGATAATTTCAGTAAATTTTGTTTATGTATTTAGTTCTTAAGTTAATTTCATTATTCATTGTACGCTACAGTCGAATTTCGTTATCAATTTTTTGTACTCTCGTAACCAATGTATGATCTAAATTAACGAGACAAATTTATGATCTAAATTACAATGTGAATCAAATCTTACGTTTCTATACACTCTAGGGGAAAAAATTATTTTTCATATCACTTTCAGCTCTTAAGAAATTTAATTTTGAAAAGGAACATCAAGTTTTCAACTTAAAAAATTTGTTGTGTTAATTGTAAGACCTATACATATACGTTTCTAACAGACAATAATTCTATGAATGCTCTCGAATAATATATACATTGCTATAATGTTATAACTGTTTAAACATCTTTAAATAACGTTTAACGCGAGCGAGGCACACGTCACATATCAATCTTTGCAGATATTTTTCTGTATCTAACAGGAAATGTACAATAACTACTCCACATGATAGAATAGACTGTATCTGTCGAGAACCTACCAAAACAGGCCATAATACGGATTTTATTCTTGTGTCAGAAAATAAAATGTGCCCTTAAATGTAATAAAAGAATGAATCAAGACCAGATTAAGACAATACTTAACACTAAAAAAAATGTGATCATTCATATAGATCTTGAAAATTAGAGCTTCAAAAGTAAATGATTTTTATAAAATACAATATCCGGTAAACTGACGAGTTTTATAAATCTATTGGTAAATCTAAAGAAGGGTTTCGTAATATAAATAACACCATTTTCTCCGTTTAACGCATACAATTAAGAAGTTCGAGAAAATGTAAACGTTCAAAGCAAAATAGGTAAAAAAGCAATGCAACAATAATAAAGATTTATAAAAAAATAAGTGCCATACTTATTATAGAATTTTATTTGCTGTTCACTTAAAGCTAAGTGCCAGTTTTTATTAATTTGTTCAAATGCAATAATATTTAACGCATGTACGCATATTGTTCAGTTAGAAAGAGCACACTGAAACGTCACGTCATTATTACGTAAGTGATTACGTAAGATACAATATCATTTACGTCTTCAATGTATGCTATTCTAATCAAAAACATGCAAAGTTCGAAAAATAGAATCTACAGCGTTCACGATTGAGTTAGAAGTGAAAGGGTGCAATATCAATCATATGCATCCTAGGTATTACGTTTTTAACCTCTAAGTAATTTAATCATGGTGAAAGAACGATCGTTTAATGGAATTTTATTATTTTTTAATGTAAACGAAATAATCTGCATAAACACTATAAAATAATAACGAACAACGTGCAAAGTTTTTTCTTCGTATAAGGCTTCATATAATTTTCTTCATCATTAAAATAACACATATCAAGGAAAGAAAACCATCTAACTTTAGGTACTGTAGTAAAAGTTCATTACAAAATTTCCTAGATCAAAAATGTTAACAAAATGTATCTTTGCAAATATTGCAACTATTTCGCTCTACTCTTCTTATTAATTAATGATTTTTCTCGCGGTTCTATTCTATCAATTATATAAGTTAGCAAAAGTGTATTCAATTTTTATGGTTCCAGCACTAACATTTGTCATAGATAATGATGCAGTATATGTAACAACAAAGCGAATTAATTTTCAGTATTGACAAATGCACAAAATGAACAAATAAGTATTTACCCTATATGTATTTATGTTGATCAACCGTTTATCAAAATGATTAAATGAGAACATTTTCATTTCTTTTTCCATTACTTTTCTTTTGTTTTTAAACCAATATATTATTTCTATGCTTCAGAGTGAAATAGTAACGATTCTATATTACATTAATGTGCTATTCTTTCACATGAAGTTACTGCGAAAACCTAAAGAGGTCAATACTTTTCCGACCCACTGCATTTCGTGAACGAGTTGAAGAAGCTTTCGGCAGTAGAGCTTTTCTTCGATGACGTCTTCTGCGCTGCTGTTCGCTCGACTGCTCGGTAATTTTGGATCGCGCTATTTATACGCGAAAAGAGACATACTGGGAAAATGGAAAGGCATAGAGAAAGAGAAAAAGAAAGAGAAAGAGAAAGAGAAAGAGAAAGAGAAAGAGAAAGAGAAAGAGAAAGAGAAAGAGACCGTGCACTACGCGATTCAAGTTGCTTTGTCTATGGAAGCATTCTTCAGCGATTAAAAGATAAATAATAATAACCATACCTATAATGCGGAAGAAGAAGAGAAAAAAGATCAAAAAATAAAAGAAAATAAAACAAAACAGAACAAAAAAGAGGAAATGAAAATAGCATATCTTTATGACACACATTTGGTAATCAAAACTGTAGTAGAAATAATATTCGGTTGTCACATAAATACGTATGGATGTACTAAACATTTTGTTTGGAATCATTAGTGTCCTAAAGTAAAGAAATGAGAGTGCTGAATTTAAACTAGTCAAAAGTGGCTTCTTATCCATCAAAATCACGCGTATTTGCAATAAGTCATACTTAAATTCTTACACTTAAAACACGTTTATAGTTAATAAAAGTAACAGTAAGTGATAATATAGTGTCGAATATTGTAGCATGGGAAATCATTATTCAATAATGTTTCGATTTAAACAACCTAATTAATAATCTAGTGCTAAACATTGTTGTAATACGATCTATGTGAAATATCAATGGGCGTGTCGTAAAATAAAGGACGCTGCCTACCGACAGTGTTAAATTGTTTATTCAACAAGTAACAAATGATTTCTAACAAATAATAAAACGTCGTGAAATGAGTTCGCAGAATTAATGTGTAAATTAGAGAGAAAATTAAACGACATCAACAATAAAAAGGTGAAATGATCAATTCATTAGTTGCTAACATTTTCCAGGTAACTTAAAGGCAGAAACAGTAGATAACACGCCAGGCACGTGAATGAGTAATCTTTTCCACGGAAAATAACAAATTTTCCTTTCAAACGCGCGTGGTCCCACCGCAACACAAGCATTCGAGGAAAATTTCCAATGAAAATTTACATTACCTATAGTAATCTGGTACATATGGAATGAGAGGTCGTACATGAAATTACATTTTCCATTCAAACTGAGACGAACTGTTGAGAAAGGAAAATAATAGTACATACCAGTAATAAATTATAGATAGTTATATGAATCTGCAAACACGCTTTGGTTGTGCGAGGAAATTTTCATTATTAACTTGAGACAAAAAATGAATTCAAACTGTTATTTTGCTCAGTATGTGCGACTATTTCAATCAATACTGTGGTCTTCATGATTTAGAGGTTACGTGTCAGAAGGGATTAAAAGAAGAGTACGTTGCTACAAATTATTCTAAATATATACCGTATTAGTAAGAGAGTATGATAATTTTCAATTTCATATTTTCAATCGTATTTTGTATAATTGAAATGACCGCAAAAGTAATAGAAAACTATCGGATTAATATACAAATAAGTATATAGAAATATCAAACAATTTGCCCTCAAATTTTGTTTGAAAATTATCAGTTCTTGCCCTTCCGTAAATTACATCGAAAACGTTAAACTTACTATTTTCTTCCGAAATCATAGCGATTAATAGATTGCTATCCTCTGATATACCTACTATAAAAATTAATTAAAGTTAGTAACTTTTTAGATATTTTAGTATTTCAAATTAGCAACAGTATTCGAAATATACTGCATTTCTTCTATATAAATTTAGCGAATTCATTGTGTAATAATAAAATGTAAATCTACTCAAAAATTGTTCATATTTTGTTGCTCACATCTTTCTTGATATTATAATAAATAATAATGAGATATTAACTTCATGCTATCGAAATCAAATTCTTGTTATTTGAAACATATTACCGTACCAAATTTTCTAATGGTTTTTCAACACACCTATTTTTATTAAAAACAAAAGGATGTAACAATGCATAGATAAATATAATTTAAGAAAGTAACGAATTTTTTGGAAATATTAGAGAAATAAATTTGTCAAGATAATAGGTAAAATATGTAATGAAATTTGTTTATGGACAGATACTTTCAATTCGTTAACAAAATATGATGCCTTTAACTTCAGAAAACATGATTTATTTAAAATAATCCAACTATAGTGTTTAATCGGGAAACTACGTCATATTTGACCCGTTTCCCTTAAAGTTCTTGAATAATTGAATAATGAATAATTACATACGTAACGAGTATTCCTTAAATGCATGATCGAAACTATCATATCCAAGTAGGTAAATACGTAAATATATACATTTCACATCTTTTCAAAAGTTGTTAATGTAATTTAACTTCGCAATTACCCGCGAAGGGATCCAGCAAAAGACTAAATATCTGTTAATATTAGGGAATATTTGATAATTTATGATTTATTTTTGTCTCCATTTACAGAAACCTTAATTAATCTTTGAAAGTGAAATTTAAAAACAAGATACACGAAATAATGCTTTTTCGAAAGAATTCATAACGAGAAGAACC